GTTTCACGGGGGTGGCGAAAATTGCTGGCTGCAAGGGTGTCTTCGAAATCGCGAAATGTACGCGTCTCGCGCGACGAGGGGGAAGATGGCAGTTGATGGGTCGGCCGGACGCGAGCACTGTGCGGCACTATTGCATGTTGTTCGATTATTTCTCTCTCCTCCCCCTTCTCCGCACCCCCCGCTCTCGTTCCTCTGCCATTTGTTGAATCACGTCGAAACGCAATTGACGCGGTTAGGTTCTAAATACTTTGCGCTTCACGACGGGGAGAGTTTTTGCGGGGAGTTTTTTAAGCGTATCTGTGCAAGCAAATTACGATTCGTCGAATGTTTCCTTACAAGTGTAATTCTGTCGCGGATTACGGATTACGCCGTTTAAAAAGCGGGCTTTGGGGGCAACGAGGAGGTGAACGATATTCTAATGATTTCACATTGTGACTCAATATGCTGCCTATGCATTGCGCACGATGTATCGCCAGCGGCGCGATACGTCGTTTACACGCTAAAATTGCGGCATTCGTGTGGGCTAATGTCCTTTGCGTGGAAGTCACGCAGAGGGACATTTCAGTCTCCGCGGTGCAGAAGGAAAATTTAGTGCCTCGGCAGCACGATACTCTAATTGAGCCCAAACGAAGATTCATTCAAAGTCATGCTAACGGTAGATTCCGCGCGTTACATCTTTTCCTTCACCGTAAAACACGAAGAGAAAATTGTCAATCTCATGAGGGTCTCGTAGGTCTGTTTTTTTATAGCCACATCATGTTGCGCTCAAAATAGATGTATTTTCTTTTACTGTTTTTTTTTTTTTTTTTAACATTAATGTATATTATAAGGATGATAATTAAAGACTGGCAGAAAGCATCAAGTAATGGACGACAAAATATTGATTGTCACGATATAACATAATGAATTTTAACATTTTTTTATATTAATTTACGTCTCATTAAATTGTTGTTGAAATTTTCCGTCTCGCTAAATTTTTGAGTCTCCCACATATACTGAAAAAGGGGACATTATAAAGATTGGCAAAGGCTCCTTACGCAAGGTTTATGTTGGCTTAAATTCAACCTCTTGCGTAAGGGGTCTTTGTCGATTTTTACAGTGTCCATTTTTAGTACACAATAGACTCATCAATTTAGCAAGCTGAAAGGCTTCAGCAAACATATTTTTAGATATGCGAGCGTGATGTGCACGCAATAAAATAATTTGTGCGATTGCACGTCGGCAATATAACATAGCAACTATTCTTCGTAAAAAATATTCTTCGTAAAAAATATAATAATACAATCTAAACAAGACTTTTCGGGACGCTTAGAAAATGATCGACACGACAAAATTACGACGTAAATTTTATACTGGGCGTATCAGTTTACAATATCCAAAATAAAACATCAAAGTTTCAAATTTCATTTCGCTAGATCTCGACAATGCCGTCCTCCACTTGGTTCTTCCTACAAATCGCTTACGAGATTATCAAATATATTGCATACTAATAATGAAAAAGTCGCTGATACATCAGCTTTTCTGCATATTCACTCAAGATAGTTCAACTATATAAAGCGCGACTATAAAGAACAGACCTAATTATCGTATCAGTCGGAGATATCTTGGACGTAACAATCGAAAACTCGTGCCTGGTCGACAGCACGATCTCCGCAATCGCGAGAAGTGCCTCAGGGGGTGGCAACCACACAGAGAGACGGAAGGAAGAAAAAAAAAAAAGAGAAAGAAACGAGGCCGTAGATCCAGCCGCGAAGAAGTCGATAAATCGAAGAGTCTCGGTGACTCGCGCTCGTTTTGTCGCGCGCGACGCGTCTCTCCGCCGCCGTATTTTAGTCTTACTATGCCGGCGATGGTATTTTATGAAGCGCGACGCGTATCGCTTCCATTATATCAGGTCGTTGCATTTTATTGATCGTACGGTGTGTTTCCACGTAATGCCGTGCTTGCGACGAGATGTACGTGCAATCCGACAAACGAATAAACCATAGGGACACCCAAGTGTGGGCGGATTGCCGCCGGTTAAAAATTCACCTATCGAAACCGGAACAATTTCGACGCGTTCGCGATTCGCGATGGTGCACGTATGTCCCGGGTATTCCGGGATCGATGGTGAGAGCGAGCACGCAGCGTTGTCCCGTCTAGAATCCGAAGAGACGAAGAGAGGAAACTCTCTCTCTCTCTCTCTCTCTCTCTCGCTCTCTCGGCGATACCGATGGAGCACAGGTATCGATACGACGGCCGAAGCTCGAGTTCTCGACTTTGATTCAACGATGAAATATATCTCGCAGTGAATTAATTAATTTAATATTGAGAGCGCTCGCAGGCAAAATAAGTAATTCTATAAATATTTCCAAGCGAGACACATTAAAAAGAAAGACAAGTCTACAAAGCCTTTAGTTTTTCATATCAATGATTTAACGAGTTGAATATTTTACCCGCAAATATCATACAAGGAAATATTGTTTATGCGCAGTCGTTACTGCATAGTCAAGTAGAAACTGATGAGAATATACCAGGAGTCTTGTAGATACTTGATTATTTATGAATGAATCTCTGCTGATATTTGGCACAGTGTGATCTGTTTATTTAAATCTTGATTGAAATCGTTCATTACCTCTCGCGCTGCCGTCACTATTTTCGCAAAGATTATTTTTAGCATTCGCCGCTTATCTAATTAGTCGCGCGCCGGGGTTAACGAGATATTAATTAATCTCGCCAAGACGCTGCCGCACTCGCGGCTTCGACTTATCGTCATTTCAGGACTGACTGGCATCAAATAGCGCGTGTTAATATTCGGAGAATTTAATTTCCTCTATCGAATCGCGGCAGCTTGTCGTTGCCGAAATGTCGTTGCGGCGGAATTGAGGGAGCCCGTTTCACAGCGTTGCTCTCCTCTCATAGAGTCCCAGTTAAGTTCCCGGATTTATTCTCTGGTGACTGGGGTAGCTTGGATCGCGTTTTCTCAAATAGTTCATCAAGAGACCCGCAATTTCATTCCCGTCTCATCGTGATACTCTCTTTCCGACGCGCCGCGCGATGCTCCTTTCTGCGAGACTCGCGTCAGCTAGGCTGACTAAACGTAAACCTATTCTACTATCGTCTCTAACCTCTAACCAAAACGAGGAGTTCCCAGTTTTGTTCCCAGTTTACACGCTAAACAAAATTTCATCAGCCATATTGTATTTCCGCATTTTCCGATTTTCCATCCAGCTCAAGCTCAAACTGAAAAGCGTACTCGCGACTTTTCCTTCTTGCGTCGGGAAATCAAGAAAGAACATTAGAGATCAAAATTTTTGGAGAAATGAAGATCCACAATATTCTACGTATTGTATGAATGATTTATGATCATCTATAATATTTAAAATAAAATTATCTGTAACTTACCTATAAACTTTCTCTAACAAGAAAAGCTGTAATACTCTTTTCGCGTGCACTGCATAAACCACGCAACTTGTTTTACCGATTCCGACTACTCAGCTACTCTCTATAATTGTCGAGCCCGTGCCTCATTTACGATTAATGACATTAGATCGGATTCGTGCTCGACGACGGGCTCTTAAATCACACACATCGTGCGGTCACGATGCGCCGACCTAATAAAATTTATCCGGCTCTCTCTCTCTCTCTCTCTCTCTCTCTCGCGGCAAGTAGAGGAATAATAACGAGATGCGACGTTATCAGCGCGATTGGTCGAGAACCTTTCGGTATATCAAAGGCGGGCAATCTGCCAAGTCGAGGTCGTATACTCGATGGAAGAGAGCGAAAACGAGTGTCGTCCGTCTCCTCTTTACACTCGCTGGTGTACACGCTCGATGAGGCGAGGATTGGTTAAACAACGCCGGTATCGGCGATCTAATCCGGACTCTATTACACATAATCGATTATCTTAACACGTCCGCGACAACCACGACGACGAGCAGCCCGTAGACGCGCTGTGTATTTCTTACGGCGGAATCTTTGCAGGATTCCTCCTGTCTCTTAGTACAGAATAATGACAAAATCGCACAATAGCAGAAAATCGACTTTAATTCGGGGGATTCACGTTTCTGCACTGGGAGAGAAATGGACAGATTGAAAGAGAGAACAGCTATTCAGGAGGAAGAAACGCGTTCAATGTCGCGACGTGTTCTAAATTACGGCTAGTTACAACCCGAAAATTCGCTACTCGAGCTAATTTTACACCTCGCAACTGTATCGATTTTCTGTTTCTACGGTTATTAACGAGAGATATCGAGAGGACAGAGTGAATTGATCGCCTAGCGTGTTGAATATCTCGGAAACTATGGAAGAACTTGGAGGAAACTCCATCTAGAGCGACGACTCCACCTACAAAAAATCGTTACTACCACGTGACGGTTATTCTCCAGCATGGGGCTTTTGCAGCAGAAGCTGAGGCTGGCTGGCTTCTGTGGCAAAGGCTCTTGTAGCCAGAAATTCCTTCCCAATTCCCGCAGTTACCAAGATACTCGAACCGCTAATCACTAATGATTCACCTTGCATAACGAACGACACTATTTTTACGCCACCCACATATATTCGTTGGCGACTGTCTGGCGACATCGACGATCGCGATTCGGTCGCCTCCTCCGAAACTGATACAGCCAGACCGTCGCGTATCGAAGTTATACGATTACTAGATCACAGACTCCATCGCTTCATTGACAAACTCATCCCGTTCGTGTTGCAGGCGCAGCAGACGCGCGCGACTGAATCGGCGCAAGTGTGGCGGTCGCCGGGGGTGCGTACGGGTGGCTGCGGTCACCCAGGTAGTTAGGGCAGCCGGTGGCGGTGCCGGTTGCCGGCGGTAGTCAGCAACGGTGCGGAAGCATCGGTGACGAAGACGACGAAGACGACGAAAACGAGGAAGAAGAAGGACGAGGAGGAAGAGGAGGACGGCGGCGGCGGCGGCGGCGGTGGTTGGGGTAGAGGAGCAGGGTGAGGAAGTGGTGGTGATAGTGGTGGAGGTGGTGGAGAACGACGACGAGGAGGAGGAGGAGGAGGAGGGGGAGGAGGAGGAGGCAGTGGTGGAAACGGTGCCGGTGAAGGCAAGGGTGGCTGTTGTGTTAGTGGTAGCGGCGAAAGTGTTTACGGTGGTGGTAGTGGTAGTAGTGTTGGTGGTGCTGCTGCTGTCGCTGTCGCTGTCGCTGTCGCTGTCGCTGTCGCTGTCGCTGTCGGCTGTGGTAGCGACGACGGCCGCGGTTGCGAACGAGGTGGAGGACGAGGTTAAGGAGGAGGCGCAGAGGAGGAGGAGGAGGAAGTGTTGCACGAGATCTCATCTTTGTGCGGGCGACGGGGCCGCTCCCTGCCGGCCGCGCTGTTCAGCAGGTGAGAGAAGAAGAGCGTGGGGGTGGCGTTTGTGAAGGCAACGTGTAGCAAGATGGGCTGCGCCATGTCCGCGGAAGAGCGGGCCGCTCTGGCTCGCAGCAAGCAGATTGAGAAGAATCTCAAGGAGGATGGTATCCAGGCGGCCAAGGATATCAAGCTCCTGCTGCTTGGTGAGTTCTATGACTCTGTGTGTGTGTGTGTGTGTACCTGAGTACTCCCTCTCTCGGCGAGAGGGGGAGTAGAACGTGGTATGGCCCCACGTGTTGGCCGAGTGTTTTCCAATCGCCCGATGATTCTTTCCTTCTCTTACGATACTTTATAAGTCGGCCGTGTTGGCCGACGAAAATGCTCGAAATCTGAGCTCTTTATGAGTAACTGAGTGCATTAGCACATTGACGAAAAATCACAGGTAAAGTTATATTTTCCACGGATCGGGGTGCTGTTCAGTCGGTGGGATAAAATTACGTTCCCGAAGCTTGCCAAAATGTTGCCGTATAATATTACGTGTTTTGTTTGTAGACAAATATTGTCCTTCGATATTAACGAAATCCCGCCGCCTACGCGTCTACGATAATGTACACAGCGCAAAACTGCGGCTCTTTCGCGTTCAGTCTGTTAATAACGTACACGTGTCTCGGGGAAAAAGGAGACGATGTTGTTAGTAAAATCGAGTCGCCATAAAAATAACGTTCTATTACGCTGCAGACGCGAAAATAGGTGACGGGGAAAGATCAACGGCTAATTAGCCGCTCTACTCGCCCCGATTGACTTTGCGTATCCAACGTGAGTGCTGGCGCGATGGATATATATTGCTATCAGAGACGTAAGTCTGAGGGAGGGGACACTTCACTGGCGATTGGGGATGCAACGAGCGTATCGGAGCGAAAAAAAAAATTACGAAATGTACGACCTCGCGGTAAGCAGTCGGAGTGCTTCCGACGGATTCCATCGGTCGATCGGCTCGCGATAAATCACTCGACTCAGCTCTCGTTACCCGCTCGAAATTAAAGATCGCCGGATCGAAATCGCGACGATGAACAAAGGAGGCGAGAGACACAACGTGAAACGCATCGATCGCGCTCAAGGGGAAAATTCGCGCGGACGTTTAGCTCCAAGCTTAACCGGGGCGACGCGCGACAAAGCTCATCGCGACCGGCCAAGTTTCCCGCGGCAACATAAATATTGTCGTTTGATGCAACTTTGGCGCGACCGAGCGCGATTATATCGACGTAGCGGCGCGTCGTCCTGTCTACAACGCTGCTTCTCTCTCGCATTAGATATTTCATGAGCTACGGCGGATCTATGATTGGCGAGGAGAGTTGCGCGCCGTCTGCTTTCGACCTTTATTGATCCGCCTAACTTTCTGAATGCGCGTCGGGAGTCAATCATTATCGAGCTTTTCCGTTTGCGCAAACGTCCCCCCGCGAGAGAGATTCTGCCGTGTGCAATAACATCGACACGTATCTCTCGATGACATTTCCTTTAATCTCTCTCCGCGATCCTGCGTGATCTCGATCTCGCGTCTCATTCTAGTCGATTGTATAAAGCAACTTTTCATTCGTTAATGGAAATAGAATGTACAGCCGGTGTCAGTGTATTTTCACAAATTTGTCATATTCTTGGAGTCACGTGGAGTCACCCTTAAGAGGATACGCGGTATACAGGATGAGGAAAAAGTCCCGGGCCGGTAAAATATCTCGAAAACTAAGCGTTTTAGAAAAATATGTTTCGAACAAAAGTTGTATGATTTCAAGGGAGACATAAAACAACTATGTCATTTTGTTTACAAATGGCACCACTTTCGAAATATTCACTGATCGTTACTTTTTTTAAACAGAAACCCAAATTTTTTATTACGCCGCCTTTTTCTACCATTTAATTAATTCGAACAACTTTCGTTTGAACTACTTTGTCTGAAACAGTTTTTTATTTGCCTAATATTTTTTGAGATATTTAAGGAAAACTTGATAACTTTTTCAATATTTAACTGCTCGCTAACTATTTTTCGGAAGAAAAAACGGTATTAGACTTTTTTGCTCTATTTAATCTCAAGAATATGTTGTTACAACAACGCCCTGACGTTTAGTAACTTACTGATTTTTGGAAATTTCAAAATCATCAAATTAACAAAAGTCAGAGCGCAATTGTAACAATATATTCTTGGGACCAAATAGAGCAAAAAAAGTCTAGTACCACTTTTTCTTTCGACAAATAGTTAGCGAGATATCGCAAGTTAAATACTGAAAAAGTTGTCAAGTTTTCCTTAAATATCTCAAAAAATATTAGGCAAATAAAAAAATGTTTCAGACAAAAGTTGTTCAAATTAATTGGTGGAAAAAGGCGGTGTAATAAAAAAATTGAGGTTTCTGTTTAAGAAAAGTAATGATCAGTGAATATTTCGAAAGTGGTGTCATTTGTAAACAAAATGACGTAGTTGTTTTATGTCTCCCTTGAAATCATACAAACTTTGTTCGAAACATTGTTTTCTAAAACGCTTGGTTTTCGAGATATTTTACCAGTCCGGGACTTTCTCCTCACCCTGTATATCGTTATAAACGTCAAAATATAAAATTTCTCTTTCTTACACACGCTGTTTAATAGGGCACCTTTGAAGCCTGACAGTTTAGCGAAATAAATTGATTTCTGCGGTAGAAGGAGAAAAATTGGAAACGACCCCGACCGCAAAGGGTCAGCGATTTAGACGTCGACGGCTCTCGGCTCTGAAATTACATCGGAATTCGGAATAATTTATTCGAACGTATCGCGCTTTCCGTGCGAATACAATCCGTTGTAAAAAAAAAAAGAAGCACCAAATCCACGCGAGTGTTGGCGTGTTTTCAAGGGATATTAAACACATCGGGGCGGCGCAATCTCGTCACTTGCATGTCTCATCTCGCGTTTCTCTAATCCTCCCCCCTGGATCCGCGGTGTAACAATTTTCGAGCGGGCGCGTCTACGATTTTTGCTCGACGCCGTGCAGCATGGAAAAGACGATTTACACGAGCCGACGAGACCGTTCGCGCGACGCTCATGGATAGAGGCGGCTTTTTAAATTGACGGGCATGCAGGAAATTGGACGCTACGTAAAACCGGAAGAACGGCGCAACAAGCGTGTTCCTCCTTGCGCGGAAGGGTAATGCCCGATCGCTCATCCGCCGTCAGTTCTTTCAATCAATGCCGGAACGCTCGAAAGCGCATAATTGCCGGCGTCGAGATCAGATATCATTTGACGTCAATGTTTAATGAACGACGTCAGCGCTTTGTGACGTAACGCCGCGCCGGCAACGAGAGAGATAACGCGTGTTTCTCCTCCCTCCCTCCCTCTCCTCTCCCCCTCCGCCGCCTTTCGCGCTGGATGATTGTACTCTGAAACGAGTTCTCTGACGCGTTCGCGTGATCCGCGGCGGGGTTTTGGAAACTAAAATAACGGAGAGACGATGCATCTCTCCATGGAACGTGGAACGGCGAGAAACGGCGTGGCGGCGAGACTCGCCACGTTCCACGGCGGGGAACGAAAGTCCTTGTTCTTTTTTCGGAGTATCATCTGATGTATGAAAGGTCGTCCAGCGTATTTCACTCGCCGCGGCGAGCAGACGCAATGATCGCCGCGATTAGGGTTTCTTCAGCTCTGTCGTTCCGCGTGTGATCTCACGCGCTAAAAATATTCCCCCCGCTCTCAGATTGGGTGACGGCGGCGGCGGCGATCGCCGTAGACAGAACTGGGGAAATAAATCAGGGGGGCACGCTCGCGGCCCTTACTTTCGAAATATTTGTCGAATGTCACGGACACATGTGCGTTATCGAGGCACGCATGCTGCCGCCACGTGTTGCCGCCCATGCCTCCTCGCGGCGCGGCGGATAAGAAACCACAAGATTTCCGGCCGGCGCGAAAAGTCCTGCGTCCTCCGAGATTTCTTCTCGGGCACGCGGAACACGCGCGATGTGACGATTCAGTTTTGATGGAATCCGTGCACCACGTATGCGCCTCTCGCGCTGTTTTCTCCTCGTTACGCATAATTAACGGTCTCATTGGCATTGTTTACGTCTTCTCTATCGTCTCGCTTTTTATATTTTGCGCATCCGCATCTTTCGGATCGGATTCGTCGCGGCGCGGCGTGCCTCATGGGTGTCTCGCTTTTTGCTCGTAACAAAGCTAAGTAATATTAACTAATTGACTAATTGAGAATGCGTGTGTGTGTGCGTGCGTGTGCGGATGAGAAGCGTCGTCGAAAGTTGCGCGCTAAAAAGTAAAACGGCAGACGCGCGGAGAGAGTCGCGCTCGGTTCATTCACGTGAGAAATCCATTAGACCACCGATTATACATTCCGATGAATCACATTCGATGAGCGCCCGGGAGATAGTGATTGCGTAACGTAGTAACGACGATTAGATACGCACAGACGCAATTGGACATACGGTCGCGAGATTCGACACTCATTCATAATCGCGGTGTGCTTACGCACGGATCGTCACGCGTCGACTCAATCGCCATGGAGTGAATTCTTCGCTCCGAGCGATATCTCCCGAGAATATCTTCACGCGAAATTCGAGAGCGATGAATTCCGCTGTGCGTGAAGGACACGACACATTCATTCTAATCGGCCGAAACATTATTCGCTCGTAGAGCCGGCTGACCACAGGCTGCGCGACATTTTTCCACGATGAGTCTCGCGAACGTGTCTCTTGAGAATCGTCGAGAAACAAATTTCATTGTCACATTAAATTAACCGAATCTTTTTTTCAACGGCTTCCGGGTGGCGGTATTTCATCACCGGCGCTTCGGTTGAAACTTCGCTCGCTCCGAGTGAGTTTTCATCCCGAGGAACTTGAAGAGTACACGCGATGCGTCGACGTAAGCATCCTCAAATTTTCACCCAGGTCCCTCGCAGGTTACTCGCCCGGCAGCGCCGTTAATCGCGCGACCAACTCGCCACGATCGGGGTCTTGATGAAAAATTCTTCCGTCGTTCGTCTCGCGCTACAATTAAAATAAAATCAGCGCGTGGGCGACGTGAAACGCCGCACCCCGACGCTATATTGTCTCCGCCGGTGCGCGCTAATTGCTTCGCACGTTTTCAATTTACTTTCTCGCATATCTCCGGCCGCGTTCTCCGTCTCTCGAGACGACACCGGGACACATACCCGGTGTCCCAGAACCGTCGATCTTGCGT